CCACCGCAGTGGGAACCCCGAAGGGTCAAAGGGGCCAGGTAAGGCTCAGGCCGCCTGAGCCCAATTGGGAAGAGTCCCAGAGGGGCTCCACCATAGTGGGGACCCCGGAGGGTCAAAGGGGCCAGGGAAGGCTCAGGCCGCCTAAGCCCACTAGGGACAAGTACTATTAGTAAGCCCGAGAGGGCTAACGACTAGAGGGGCGCCGGTTGCGTGACAAGCCCAGAGGTGCTGGAGAAGAGGCGCCGGTTGCGTGACAAGCCCGGGGCACTAGAGAGAGGTGCTGGTTGCGTGACAAGCCCAGGGGCGCTAGAGAGAGGCGCCAGTTGCATGACAGGCCCAAGGGCGCCTGGCAGGGTGCAGAAAGGAAAGGGACCAGATAATGTCTGGAAGAGCTGCGAGGCGTGGGGTGTGCTAAAGGGGAAGTAGGAGGCATAAGGCTGGGGTGCACCTGGTCACTCCATACGGAACGGGGACAGTATCAGCATAACACCGTGTACAAGGGGATCAAAGGCAGCCTCCCATAGAAACTTATACATACCAACAAGACGTGGCGGGCGAGAAAAGAGGGTACTGGATCACCTACTTGACACGGCAGGGGGTGCTAGAGGGATCACGGCCGCTCCTAGGCCCCACACCGTGACACCAGTAAATAAACCTTGCTAAATTGAGTCTTGTGGTCAATTCTTTTTGTAACATTAAGGTCTCCAAAGGAAACACACTACATGTGGTAGCACCAGCACCCCAGAAGATGCCCTGGCCACGTGCTTATGCACAAAACTACACCGACCAGCGCAGAACAAGGAGGAACCACACCAGGGATCAGTGCAACCACGGGTTTTACAAACATGGGTCTACCACAGGGCCGCTGCTCAAGCACCTGCAATTCTGATGGACAAGAATGGAGAAAACACTACTGGTTCACTCGTGTCAGTTCAACTCTTCATCCTGATAATGTCTAGAAAGAACTGCTCAAGTTTATAATACTGGTCATACCTTTTTGACTTGATGCGCCCCTCAGTAGACTCAAGGCACCCCTTGGAAAATGCCAGCTCTTCCTTTTCACTCATATTTTGAGTGCAGAAAATGAGAGAAATTCTTCTATTGTAAAAATCTGAGAAAAATCTGAGAAAAAATTTTTACAATTTTCTATTGTAAAAATCTGAGAAAGACCACACACGGTCAGAGTGTTTTTAGTACCATGGATTCCTATCTGGAATTTCCACATTTATCTCCTGAATCATGTTTGTGTATGCAAAGAGTGCTTAACTTTGCATGGCACCATGTGGTACCCTCGAACAGATCTCATGGCACCCTGGTTGACAATACAGTCATAAAAGAGGAGACAAGATTTGTTCTTTGCAAATTTCCAGTGTACCACCCATAAGGTAAGAGGGCAGATGTGAAGATGGGATCCTACTTGCCCTATCTTTTAGATTAGAATAGATGATTTTAGGATGTTAAACATCTCAGCATCTTGGAAAAATAAAGCAGTATGTTGTCACGCTCCACCTAGGTTTGTTCTAGTCACTGGTTTGTTTTCTCTATCCTTGCATGGGCACTAATTTGGTGATTAGAGGTATCTGGTCATTAGCCATTTTTTTCTCTCACTATGGAGTTACACTAGGGATATTATCCTCTGTGGAGAAAACACAGCAATGGGTTCCCTCAAAGAGTTTAAAAATGGAAATTTTGGCAAGACTAAGCTGAAGATTGACCTGTCTACCCAGGATGTGTCTTTAATGCAAAAGCTAAGCCACTGCAGCTGCTTATCTGCCAAAGGAAGCTGGGAGTAGAGGCCCTGCTTTTTCTTCTGTAATTAACTATTCACTTTTAAAATGTTCTACCTCCACGTTCAGACCGTCTGTTCTGAGAGAACGGGATGCTACTTGTTAAGAGCACAGCGAGCTCCTGTCCAAGTGTTCTTAAAAAGAAGAAACTCTCTACAGATTTCAGTTACAAGGGAGATGTGCACAAAGAGGAAAATGAAACGTGATCCCTTTTCACAGCAAAAATTTGAAGTGATCTCTACTGAACATTTGGATCCTTGAACCGAAATGGGAAAGATACCCAATCACCAATGCCCAGCGGTAAATTTTAGAGTGGAATAGGCAGATGGAAATACTGTGGTACATTGTGCCCTTGAATGTCATAAAAGGGCCAGCAGCAAAGCGCCCCACTTTCCGAAACCAACAGCCCTAAACCCGGACTGCTCCTCCAGAAGCAGTCCTTTGGGATGTTCTCTACAGAGCGTCCCAGTAACTACAGTAGCTCACATCTCCTGCTTTGTGACTCAAGAAACACTAAGACAGACACGTTACACAAGAGAATGCAAAGGAAAATATTTTCTCTGTTGCAGAGCAAGATCTCAGTTACCTCTGTGCCGAGGGCAAGGGATAGAAGAGAAACAGCCTTTCACAAGCGAGTGCTCATTTTATCTGTCACTAATGCAAATAACTTCTTCCCAAGAACGTGTTTCAAACTGCTGATGCTTAAGTATAGCAGACTTTATTTAAACTGCACTTTTGAAGCAGAGGGTTAGAAGAGCGCTGGAGGGAAGTAGTAGTGATGTTCTCAGGCATTCAAAAATACATTCAGTCTCTCTCACCCATTTGACTCAAATAACAGTCACAGACACATCTCAATGCACTCCAGAGACAAACTAAAGCTCCTGAAACAAGTATAAAAGGGGGGGATGGCATTATTCTCATGTAAGTCAAACTATGAGAAACGGAAAACAACTACAAGAACACTGGTGAATTAGGATTAGTCTCTAAATATACACTATTACATATATTTATGAGCTCAAGACCATAGGCTCTGCCATATCTAACCAAACTATTGGTTAAGCTTTAGTCGTGGCTAATACCAGATATTTCTATAATACATTCTGATCGGTGGTATAAATGCTGTACAGAGGGCTTGTGGAAGAAAGCATTTTTGCCCGATGCCAACAGCTGATGCCTGGAAAACAGTTCTCTGGCAAGCACAATCCTCCTTTGTGCTCCCAGTGCTTTCCATTTAAGAATCAAAGTGCTTTTCGAACGAAGGGCAAATGTTATCTTCGCTTTGCAGTTCTGTTGGGTAACCAAGTTATGCAGCCATCTGAAAGTTTCAGTTCCAGTCTTCGTCTTTGATTTCCTCAGACAGCAAATTCCACCACGTTGCGCACGCAGCTGTGCTTATGTTCAGAAAACTTGTCTTTCAAATTCTGTGCAGCTTTACATTGCGTTTTTCCCCCCCAACAAAACTCAAAGCTTAAAAAGAAAAGAATCTGTGAAACAAAATCACCTGCTGAAAGGTTGAAGCATTGACAAGAAAAGGGTTACACTTGAGAAGCTGAGCACCTTCAGACAAAGCCACAATGTGCAGCAAAATATATATACTTCAGCCTGAGCAACATGTAAAGGGAACACCTGGTGGAAAACAAGTCTCAGTACTGAATCATATTCCTATTCTACTCATCTGTCAAAGAAACAACATGTTAATCCTCTCCAGTCCCCCAGTGAAACCTCGCTGTTCACCTTTGAGTTTTGCAAGTCCCTATTTATGTGCTAAAAACAAACTAAAGGCACTCTTATTGTTTAAATATTCTTCCCCACTTAATATTTCACAACAATACACTTCAATATTGGCAATTAAGCAGTTGCTACAAACTATTACAACCTTAAGGCCTTGCCTTTGTAGGAGTCATCAGTTTACAAAGAGCATTATTTGAGCTACTACAACAAACGTTACATGGAGAAAAACTGAGTCTCGAGCACACTACAGCCCAGAAAAGTCAAGTCACAAGGCCTCATCATGCTGTGCTGCAAGTACCGAAACCGAAACAATGACACCGCAGCTGAAGGCACGCACACATCAGATGCCTGATCTCTGTCATTGCCAAGAGCCTTTTTCTGGAATGCTGAAGTTTGTAACAGTTTTAGACAGTAAAAAGATAAAATGGCAGGTATGACTGGGCATGTAAGTGAAAGACAAGAGCAGAAGTGCAGTTATTTTTCTGTAGCCTGAGATGACAGCAGTTATGATACTCAGTGAGGTCATTACTGTCATTCATTCGGGGATGGCACTTTACACGAGAAGCTACTCTGCATGGAGCTGGAGTAGCCATGGACCAGAGTTCAGAAATTAGTTTTGGCAAGTATTGCTGCATGAGGACGGAGGGAGCTAAGCATTTTGTTGGCTCCAAGCTTGATTTGGTAGAATTGGCACAAGCTGTCTAACAACAACATAGTATAAAACCCATCCAAAACAGATGTTTAGTGACCCCCCCCACTTTGATGTGAAAGCAATGGTGAAAATGTTTAATCCCCTTTGTGATGGCAACAACACATCAAATTTCAGGCCTTCTTGGAAAATACATATATATTGCTTGTGGAGATTCGGAAATTTGTTAGCTAAGAGCTGGCAAATACTTTGAAAGAACAAGATATCCAATTGTTCCTGATGAACACAAAGATATACAGGAACCAGAGAGTAAGAAGTGGGTTCCCGATCTCCACTTCTGAGTGCCCTGTCACTCATGCTAATGTCAGCTCTGTACATCTGATCTTAAAATGGATTAGCAAACCCATAAAAGATCCCATGCTCCTCAATACTGAGCAGTGCCCACTACCGTTAAGTAGACTGTCACCACTGAAAGCACATAATGCTCTCTCCTGGAGAGAGCTAGCAATTGCCAGGGATGGGATAAAACGTTAATGGGAAAAAAAGAGTTGGCATAATTAATTGCAGTTATCGTACTAACTAGTCTCAGAAACTAAAAGAAACAAAGCTCCTATCCAGAACTAACGAACCGTCGACTGCTCACAACACATGACACGAAACACAAAAGCCACATTGGCCAAAGCACGTCACGTAAGCTACACCCAACGAGCTTCCACAAGCTCCTCTTGCTTAAGAAAGTGTTTCTGGCAGATATTGATGCTATTTTGCTGATTTAAAATGAAATACCCTTTTACACTACCAATTTCAGCATAAAGTATTGCCTTCAAATTTACCTGCATTGCACTGTCTCCTATCGCTCGACGGATCTCCCTCAGTGTCTGATAGTGCTCCAGCAAGTGATCACCACATATTATATCTACCTGTGGGGAAAAAAACATTCAAGAATCAACAGTGCAGTCCCTCTCTGGCTTAGAGAAGACTGCCTGGGATTTTACAACTCAATCAATACGCTATCTGAACATCTGCAACTTGGTTACTTGCATTAAAATAAATCTGGCACTGGTGACAGTTGCAAGATTGACAGTGCTGGGGATGAAAATCCTTCTTATCCCTCTTTAACCAAACAGGTCTAGCACGAGCAGCAGCAGCGACTGCTTTTTGCATCACCCTACAAACAGTTCTTAGCACTGACCTTGTGGGGCCCTCCTGCAAGTAAGAGAGAAGCGAGTTGTTTGCTTTCCGGTCACCACTTGCCAACAAAGGCAAGAAAAAAGATTTTCAGTGGCAACGTGACAGCGTCGCGGAGACCCACAAACTTCTGTCACATATGCATCACCAAGAACAATGGCAGAGTCATATTCCACCCCAATGGCAGGCAACAGCTCTAGAAAACCCATCAATACTGTATGCTACAGGCACAGTGATATGGTATCCCCTGCATGGAGGAAGGAGAACACATTCACATTTCTGCTGAATAAGAAAGCGTTTCATTTTGGAAGAAATGCCTGAAACTCAGGCAAGAAGTGGCTCACGTCATGATGCAGTCAGCCAGCACCTGGCACAATCCCTACTCCGAAACAATCAATATTTCAGGGAGACACGTGAACGGAAAGCACCGTCAGCAGTTCCAGGCAGTGTCCTCTGCTGCAGTAAGTAAAATTAGGCCAGTGATGTCTGCAGTGCTGCAGGAGCCACATCACCCAGGTTCTTTACATCAATTTATTGTTAAAGGAGCTGCCCCAAACTGCTCACATACTTAAAGTAGAAAACTAAAGAAGCTGAAGGGAGGGGAGGGGAGAATGGGACTGTTTCAAACCAATGCATTTGAACGGCTTGACATATTATTATTATTATTATTTTTTTAGCTTACTGAAGTCCTTTTTCAGAGTTATGACACCAGGACACACTTTACCTAACTCAAACTGAGCCATTAATGTTCCACATAAGAGCAACAGACACCAGGGTTACAGCCCCTGCTTGCCAACAGCTAAGCAGAGCAAGAAGAGGGATCTGTGCTATCAATTAATCACCCTGGAGACCAGGATTTGGCCCGTTGAAGGAACCTGGGCAAAGATTTGCCTTGCAACTTTTTAAATATGGGAGGTTTGAAGTCTACTGCCTTGTATTCTGGGAGCACGGTGTAATACCAGGGCTCCTCTCACAGCTCGGTAGCCACTGCCACAGAAAAAAGAATGGAATTTATTTTTGCCGTTTAATTCTGTGCTTTGTCTGCAGGTTCATGCTTCCTGCCTGGTTTGCTTTCCGAAGTCCGTTTCAGCAAGCAAAGATCATGAATTGTGGCTCACTCTAGAGGATGAAGCGTGGCTTTGGCAGCCAAGAACACACGTCCTACAATCCTGCTTGGCCACTGATTTGAAGTTTCGTGACTTGTCTACAATCAAACAGCATTTGGTACCTTGACTGCCTCATGCATAACATGGGGATTATCAAAAATACCAAAATCCACAGCCCACTTCACATGGTGCTGTCATTTAAAATAACTGCTGTGAAGTATTTTCTACACCACAAGGCTCCTCCACTTCTAAAGGAAGCCGGTGAGCAAAAGAAGTAATCTAGATATTAAATGATCTTGAGGGGTTACTAACTAACTGATAATGGATTTCAGGTTATTATTTAAATTACCAACTTTCAGGTATTTAAATAGTAAGCGTGTACACACACACAGAGCCTCCACGTACTTTCTAATTTAAAAATTGTTTCCCTGTGACTATCCCCTTCCACTCCCATATTCATTTCTTATAACCGCTAAACATCATAGAGCAGTGGTTCCCAAACTGCGGTATGTGTACCCCGAGGCTTATGCAAGACATCTCGGGGGGGTACGTGGGAAAAATTGTGTCTTGGCGGATTTAATTTTCATTATAATGATAATTGGCATTTAAGGGCGGAATATAAAACGTATCCTGGTAGGGGTACGCAAGCAGCTGGTAAGTCTGGAAGGGGGCATGCAATGAGAAAAGATGTGGGAACCTCTGTCATACAGTGTTAATCCAGAAGGGGAGGCAGACCTATTCTGGTCATTATTTGTAGAGGTGCACGGATACATTGGTCCCATATCTTATCAGCACCGATATAATGAAAGTTGACATTATGGGCAATTGGTTTTTTTTGGCTGACGTGGCTATA